TTACTGTATTTATTGTATTAACCTTTCACGTGCAAAATTCACTTGGCGTGCAAACGTGTCTGATTTTATAAAAAAAAAAACTGACCGTGGCGCCCCTAGTTCTATCTTACAAAAAAAAAAACTAAAATCCTCCAATCAAAAGACTCTTCAATATAATAGAGAAATATATGTAATGAGAACTTTTAAAACGCTTCATAGCATAGGTAGGTAATGGAAAAAAAACGGGAAAAACGAATCGAATGGAAATTCGTTCATGGAAATTTTTATATACAGATTGAGTTCAGTGTGATTTCAATCGCGTTCCAATACCTTTTTCGGTGCAATAGACATTGGTTAACTTCAAACGATCCCTACGACATTATTAACCATCGCCTGCAATTAAAAAATGCAAACAAAACAAAACAAAAAAATTAAAATGGAGTACAATATTTTCCCCTAAAATTACAGTCATAATATTCAGAAGGGTGGGCTATCGATCCTTGAGCCTACAGGAAGCGGGGGCGCGTTTCCGCCACTGAAGCAAGGGGGTGTTTTGAAAAATTGGCAACCCTCAACGGTTGATAAAATCATTCGAATTTTAACTCTATTCGTACGAGATAAGGAATACGTATTTCAGCTTAAAACACTGAGATTCCTCTATATTAGAACGGTGTTCGGATTTATTGTGTTTTTGTACTGTTTGATGAATGGCATTGGAATTTTCTCGCAAAGTTTCTCTGATGATTTATTTTTTTCTCTGTACATTTTTTTGTCTTACTTTCGAAGGCCAAGACCCAAAACAAGAGTTCATTGATGGTAATTTACGTAACTTCTCAAATCCGGTGATTTTGTATTTTGAAGTTGAGGATTTTTAAATTTGACATAAGCGTTTTTTTGTTTCTTCATAAGAAGCTCACTGCTCACTGTTTAATGGTTATCACAGCCCGCAAATACTATTATGTGAATGCCGCCATCCACCGCGGTGAGATGAGGTTGAAATCTCAATTATATTGCATAAGGGCTGCCCCACCCCTCAAACCAGAACGCATAACTGCTTCGCGGTGGAAGCCCTGCATGTTTTACGGGTTTGAATATTTTAACACAATGTTATTTCTTCATCGTGGGAGTCATTCGAAACTCGTTTATTAAATGGTAAAATTTGGTACACGCTCGCGAGATTTTAACACCGACATATTTATATCGCTTGATATGAGTAGGTACACCGGGCGTCTTATCCTTTAGGTCACGACGATTTCACTTATTAAAATTAATAATTTTCATAGTTAAGAGGCTACTATAACATGGCATTTTTAATCCGTACGGTTACCATAGGGTTAGTGGAAAATCAAATCAAATTCTAAGCCTATAATATTTAATTTGTTTAGTTTAAAAACGTTCCACATTTTCAGCATATTTCTCTTGAAAATCACAATAGTACTTATTATTACGTTAAATTCAACATCGTATTTTTAATCCGTACGGTTACCATAGGGTTAGTGGAAAATCAAATCAAATTCTAACCCTATAATATTTAATTTGTTTAGCTTAAAAACGTTCCACATTTTCAGCATATTTCTCTTGAAAATCACAATAGTACTTATTATTACGTTAAAAGCAACATTTTATAGCAACACTTTAAACGAACACTGAAACCGAGCAATTAAAACGACTCAAGCGTGATCACACAGTATTGTGACATTGAACTGCGTGGAACGGAACGCACCCCCGGAAAAGGAGCTCACGTGCGCGTCACTTCCGTCCTCCGTCGGCACTCATGGCGACAGCAATATGGCGCCCGGTCTTCCCGCGCTTTGTCAAGATGAAAACAGCAGTTTATTACTCAATGTTAGAAGTCCATAATTGAAGTCGTGAGAGTGTAAGAATCCTAAAAGCATTATTAAACTATGCCATTGTTACTATATTTGAATTTGTATCTTATATATGATTTTCTAATTTTTATTAATCTACAATAACACAGTCATACTTTAATAATAAGATTAAGAATAATTACGAAACGTTGGTACGAAAAAAAAAAGACAATAAATAATTCCAAAAATACTTCCACATTTCAATATTACGCTTATGCAAGCCATGATCAAAGAGTTCGAACAGAAAGGCGATACGTTACATTAATATTATTGCGTCGCTTTTGGAAAATCTCAAAAAATTCACCGACAATACCTATTTTCTTCGAGAAACTTACGAAAACTAGGTAAATGCTGGGGATAAGCTGCTTACACACGCGATGCTGATTGAGTCGAACAAAACGTTGAACGGGCTTTGTTTTCGAGGTGTCTTTCTTGAACAACAATAGCGTAATGATTCTGCGAAGCACTGCTCTTAATAGGGCTTGTGTTAGCCACGTCACTAGGTCAGAGCCCCGTGAGCTCACCTACTCGTTCGGCGAATCTAGAATAACCTCTCGCTGTTATTAGAATACGTAGGAAAAAATAAAAGATTTGAAGGTATAACAAATGAATTGACAAAAAATAATCATCGCGAATATTCTAGACACTAACGTTCTCAAATCGGCAGTAAGATTATCGAATAATAGAAAACACCTTAAGTAATAATCACGATTGGGTCGATTTTATATTAAAATATAAATCCTAGTAATACGAAAAATCCTATGAGCACATCTGATAGTCAGTGATTTTCGTAAAATAAGGTAAAGTCAGTCGCCTAGTACCTTTCAAGTACAAAGTAGGTATTCTATGTACCTAAGAAGGACGTACTCTAATCTAATGTTGGTGCGATCAACTGAAACAAATGTTTAGATGGAAATGTATCTCAATACGAGATCCCACATCAACCTGTGCCATTTATCAAATAATTTATTAAACAAATTTTTTATCATAACTATTAGAAGTTAGATACAGTTCATTAAGAAACTTACGTAATTGTCTACTTAAGCGGTAAATACTTCGTTATTACTAAGCAAAAAGCAGCTCATTCTACACACGCCCTAAGCATGTGTTGAATTATTGTGACATCCCTCATTTTTCCCATAAAGTCTATAGATATTTCTCTCTGACAGCGATGACAGGCCTTTTTCCCGCCTCTCCGTTATTCCCGTGGCCTCGCAAATTGTGCCTCACAGTCACCACATAGGGATGTGTAAGTTTCGATAACAATCGAGTTGCAAAATAAAAAGTCCGGTAATCAGAAAAAAATGTTTGTGTGAATTTTGTTAGTTCCCGAAATAAGCTTCGATAGAACATTTGTTTGTATTTAGGGAGCGATCGATATTGGCTTTTGTATCCGATGTTTTACGGCCGGTATATTTCGTTATACTCAGAATCATTTCATATTTAACCACGATTGAGAACATTTTCATTTATATTATTCATTTGGGTCTACAGTACAACATAATCCACTATGATTTAAAACAGTGCGTCATTTTACAATTTTGCTGTTGCAATGAGTATTTGATTTACAATGTTAATAATTTATTTCAAGTCTATGAAAGCAGATGACGCCGACACGCGTCGGAAGGCACTATGCGCATATATTTTGTGATAGACCACAAACTGCCGGAAACTTGATTAATCGTTCATACTCGTTCAACGTTCGAGTCAGAGAGAGAGACATAGAAAGAGGGAGAGAGAAAGAGAGAGAGAAAGAGAGAGAGAGAGAGAGAGAGGGAAAGATATTGAAACGCATATTTTAGTGTAAAAACTCAATTGTTCATAATTAAAACTCCTTCTACGGTTTAATCTTGCGTTTTTTTATTGTAATTATATTAGTTCCGGGGTTTTTAATACTGTACAGTTCTCGAAGTTACGAACAGCTTTCAATTGGTCATTGTCAATTGTATTTGTTCAAATCTTTTGAATTTTTAAAGGCTGTAGGACGGAGAATACGAAATTAAACAGTACCTATATAATAATAACTAGCGGCCCGCCCCGGCTTCGCATGGGTAGTAGCGCACGTGATGTAAAAAAAATTATGTAATTTTTTTACACGTTGGGTTACATTATTGGAGTTTCAGTAAGGATCCCTAATTTTTTTCAAAATATAATAAATATAGCCTATGTCACCCGGGGATAGCGTAGCTTTCCAACAGTGAAAGAATTTTTCAAATCGGTTCAGTAGTTTCGGAGCCTATTCAATACAAACAAACAAACAAATCTTTCCTGTTTATAATATTATTATATTATATATATATATATATATATATATATAGTATAGATAAGTACTACAAGTCACGTAAATATGAGAAAATATTTCGAAGTACCTTTTAACGACAACGTATTTAAGGTAGCTTCTTAAATCTTAAAAAATAATAATCAATTAATTGAGTTTTTCATTATTAAACTTTTTAAATATCATTTAAATTATAAAATATTTAATGTAAGAACCTCAGTTGAATGAAATAAATAAATAATGTTTTTAAATAGATTGTCTATGACTTGAGAATCCACATAACAACAATTTCTTTATTAGTTGTAGCAGCTACGAAACTTTCTCCATTGACACGAGTCTTTCCAAGTAGGCACTCGAGTCGTAATCAGGACTCGTCACGTCGATGTCGCGTCTCTAGTGCAGAATAAAGTTATAAGGGTACAAATGGATTTTCCCATAATATTATTATATCTAACGGGTTGCGGCATGCTGTAATTGTTTTCGTTTGAATTTCTACTCGTATTTCGTTTTGTCTGTTGTTGGTTGTTTTAATTTTCGCAGCACGGGACGAGGTATAAATTTATGTTGATAAACTCTAATGTTTGGTTAGTTTGAATTTCGGAATTGATGCAAAACGTACATACTAAATTTCAATGGAAATTTTTATTCTCATATCAAACATTATTATTATTTTGGAAAAAAAAATAACCGAAGGTTTTTTTTTTCTGAAACCTGTTAGTTTTTAGCTATTATTATTGCACTCATTTAGGCCTACAACAATATCAATAGGTAATTGATACATGCCTAAGTCACACCAATCATTTTCATAGTCTGTAGAATATTTATTTATTTAAGTATTTATTGTGATGTCTTTATGTAATTATTTCCATCAACAGGTATGGTTTTCAAATCGTCGTGCAAAATGGCGTCGCGAAGAGAAACTCCGGAGCCAGCGTCGCGACGCGCCGGCCGCGTCTCCTCCCGCACCCCCCGCGCCGCGACTCCCCCTCAATGGAGGCTTCAATTCCATGTACAGCCCCATACCGCAACCCATTGCCACAATGGCTGATTCTTACAGGTTAGTTTCAACGGTCAACGTATGGACGTATTGTGTGGACTTGCTCAAACTAAATTTCTTTTTGCTAAATATTGGTATCATTGCATAGTTGTTTTTGGTTATATACGCTTCGGTTGTTTACTTACCTATTAATTTCACTTACGCCATTGTATTATTATGAATACACAATTAAATAATAATAATTCATATAATTGTATATGAATTCTAAGTTGTATATATATTTGTAATTGATTAGTTTCGTGTTAATATTACAGAAGTATTTAGCTTTACGTAAATAAAATGTTCTTGGTTACATATTAAACCTAGTTAATAACAATTTAAGAAATTGTAAAACAGAATACCAAGCTAGTATCTTTGTAATGTAGGTACCTAATACCTGCAATGTAAGAATACTGAATGATTTGTCATTCCAACGCCATCTATGAATCGTGTGGCGGTACTAATTAAATTGCGCGCGAAATCGAGCGGCAAAGGTCGCGCCTCCTTGCGTTTCCCGCCACTGCACCGAGACGCTCCCAAGTTTACCGAAGGTCGCCCGACTTTCCGCTTCAATTGATTTTTAATAGTGAACTACGGGCTTTAGCTTTTGTCGTCGGCAAATTAACTTAGTGAGATGAGAAGTTTACCCCGGCTATTGGCTTTTTGTAATACTTTTTTCTGTTCAACGCAAACTTTATTTTTCTAATGAACCAGTTCAATACAAATCGATCATTGTGGTTGTTGATATTTGAAAACTTTACTAGAACGTATTTCTTTATTTTTAATGTGGTTTACTATTTTAAAAAAAATCGACTCTTGACATATTTATTTATTGGTTACTCATACGTTACCACAGACTTAAGAACATCTTCAAAGTTTACTATGTGTTAAACATTACTAGTAAATCGAAGAATTCTTGCATATTACTTACTTAATATTTGAGACAAAACTTCAGTTTCTAGAGGGAAACATCCAATATGATGAAAAATTTTGTCTCGATGTTCGATAATAAACACCGTGTCCTATAAGATTAAAAATAATAACGATTCACGCGTAGAAGAGTTCAATATTCACGCGTAGAAGAGTTCAATATTCACGCATCCATAGAAGTATTGTATGCTAGAATTACTAAATATTAGTTCATGCCTTAGTTCATCGTTGAAGACTGTACAGACTGTACAGAGAACTGTGTGCTTAGTGAGAGTTTTTTAACGGTCTCGATAGCGTAAAAGTTAATCCATTTTTTTATGCAGTTGGAACAGCGCCCCTAACGGCAAACTTAGGCAAACGATCCCATTCCATAGAAATATGATCTAACTTTTACGCTATCGAGAACGTTAAAAAACTCACACTAAGCACACTGCTTACGGATTGTTGTCGCTCTGTTTATCCCTTTGACTGCCATGTAGATCACCGGTGCCCTAAGAATATTGAGTAATTATGTTGATTTCTATCTTCGATCGATAATAGACTCTGGGAAAGACGAATCTGAAGACACTGAGAATAAATCTATTAAGTTGTAACAGAAATTCACATTAATTACTTCAGTGCGTCAGTAAACGTGTTAATCTTATTTTGTCTTGTTCACGTGACAGCTCGATGTCCGGTGGGCTCTCCTCTTCGTGTCTCCAGCAACGGGACGGCGGCTACCCCTACATGTTCGGGGACGTCCTCGCCAGCGGAGGATACTCCAGAGCCCCGGCGGCGCATCAGCAGCACCCGGCTTACTCACAGCCACAGCCCGCTGGCAGTACGGGTAAGTTCTCTTAGTCTTGTCATTAGTGGAAAAATGGAGAGGTATGACGGAGACTGACAGTTTCTTTTTTCAAATTCAAATTACGAGCTTTGTTACAGAATTTCAAAATTTGACACAAATGCTATAATATACATAGGCAGTCGAGTTTACTGGCCACATCGGCCAATAAACGCCATAACGTAAAATAGTTAGAATATTTAAAAAAAAAAAAAAAACGAAATGTTCTAGAATTTTTTATCAAACAACATACGGGTATTAATAACAGTCAGTATTTTCATAAAGTGTAGCAGCAGCCCACAATCAAAACATTCGTTGGATGTTACTACGAATTTATATAATTTTATGCTGGGCTACGCTACTCTACAAATACTAACTAAAGAATTTGATACGAAATATATAATTTTATCGGGGAAAACGTTGCGAAATCGGCAAAATTGAAAGGAGAGAGGCCTTTGAAAATATTTACAAACTTCGTAATAAAAAGCAAAAAAAATATGCTGTGTTCAGAACGAGGGGCGCCCAGTCCGAAGACCGCGACATGACGGGGAAAATAAATAAAAAAACGCAGGGAAAACGGAATTCGAGCCTCGATTCTATTCACCGTTGTCTGTTCCTTACAAATGGTTTTTAAATTGATTTCGAATATCCAATGCATTCGTTGAGCGATAGTTTTAGAATGTTAATTTCCTTACAACCGAATTGAATTTTTCGACAAAGCCACAAAAAAATCTCCACATAGAACTTACAGATTTATTACGCAAAAAAACGGAACAAACTTCGACTGGGTGTGGCGTTCCTATTATTTTAAAAAGGTCGTAACTTTCCCATTTGAAATTATATATGACGTTGCGGACATTTTTAGCCGTAGGCGGCGGAAAGCGCGGCATGAATTATTGTTGTTTGGGGCGTTTCGCGGCATTGTTCCGCCGGCGAGCTTCCATCGCGCGACCGCGAACAAAAGAGTTTTTCACGTTTTCAAAATGCACATTCTCGTTTCATTTAATCTTTTGCGCTCTTTCGACGGGTGCATTTCCAGCTTCGTATTAAATAGTGCGGATCTGTTGTTCTACTTTTCGCGTTTTCTGGCTCTTTCTCGGTCTTTTATCAAGTCGGATGGACTAGGGGTATTTGAAAGATTAAAATTTTTAATGGAACGTTTTACAAACGGAATCTTGTGTTTGCTTAAAAATATTCTTAACTCGCCCTACCTAAGCATTGGTTGCTTGAGGGGCTTTATCAAGTACGGTAGGTGAGCTCACGGGGCTCAGTCTAGGACTTGCTAACATGATCCGTGACAATATTATTGCGTCGCTGAATCTACGACCGAATCGGAATCGCGACCCACCGAGAAGATCCGGCGAGAATATTGATTCAAACCAAACAAATAAATGCGCACTTTAACTCTCGCATTAGAACTTATCAATATGAAAACGTACCAAAATTTCAAAGTAACAATGTATATTAAATACCGGAAAACCATTATTATATTCATCCGAGCCATAAATAAAAATCACACAGCTCCCCACAGATGCAATTACGTGCTTGCAGTAAAACGGCTACAACATCGAATTCATCATAAACAAGCGGCACATAGACGCGAACCATCGCCCAAACGAGTCTCGCAGGATCTGTGTTTAGAGTCGATAATAACATGTAATGAATGTAAACGGCGCCCCTCGCGCGCCGGCACGGAAAACTGTTATCGCAGTCCCACACGCGCGGTTAGGGGCGCGCCGTCCTATCGGGATAAGGGATGAATGCGTCTACTGTGTGTGCGTTAATAGACAATGTGCTCTATACCGATTTAAGGTTTCGGTAAGCACTAGACTCTATTGTTTGCGTTGTGCGTCACATAAAGGCTTGAAACGATCGGGATTACGTCGGTTGCATCAACAGAATACACATCCATGTTAATATTTTCTTCGGTTTTCGTTTTCTGAGTATGCAAAATTAAAACTAATTTTACGGTTTAATCTTACGCGTTTTTGCGGGTGTTATATCATTAACGATGTTTCGAATACTTTACGGTTTCCGTGGTAGCGGTCGACTCGAGATAATTCGTCGACATTTGAACATTGTGCGAACTACGTTATATTTTTCTATAAAAGTTGTTTCGTTACCTAAGAACGGTGGTAGGGGCAATTTCCACTGAGTTTCTCGCCGGATCTTCTCAGTGCGTCGCGTTTCCGATCCGGTGGTAGATTCCGCGAACCACTGCTCTTGCTAGGGCCAATATTAGCAACTCTACGGTTTGAGCCCCGTGAGCTCACCTACATGTTAGGGCGAAGCTGAAATAGCCTCTCAAGGCTATCAGCATAGTTAGGGGGAAAAAGGGGCGATAAGGCGATTGAATTCTTTCCAATGCTAATTCTAGGCTAACAACTAGTTTAAATACCTCGTTTTTATAACTCTTTTGTCGAAACTAAGCATTCGTCACTCGTGTACGTATTCTGCATGATTGTAGTTTAGTGGATTCCAAGTACACGCGTTGGATAACTCGATTGTATGGTAAACGGAAAGCAATCAGGGTCCTATAAGACACATCGGGTCGACGTTAATGGGTTCCGCATTAGACAGGGTTAACATGTGCTTCTGTGATCGTCCTATATACATGATTGGCTAGCAATTACACGGGATTGAAGACATTACGATGTATGTACGTATGCATAGACGCTCGTGCGATTTACGGGTTAATTTGAATCAACATAATATTGAGTTAGCCACGAATTCGTTATACAAACTTTTTTATTTGAATTAATTGCATTTATTCAGTTATTGTTTATGGATTTATGTATAAATATAATAAAAAAAAGATTGTCGTTAACGTCTTTGATGGTAAATGAACTTTTTTAATCTGTATAATTGTAACATGCCTTATAATGCAAGACAATCAGCGAAACAAAGGGATAGGCTCTGTTAGTAAATGTGTTTAACTTAAATATAACCGATTCACATTTCAGTTTGTTTATTGCGTACAGTCTACAAGCACAAAAATGTTAGTGGGACAGCCCTGGGCGTCGTAAATGACATGCCCAGATTGTTGATATAGCATTCATACTCGACCGGTGGACCGAATGGTAAACAGTCGACGTCGCCCTAAGCACGTCATTACAGATCCTCCCGATCCATTAACAGTGCTTTTAGGCACCACAAGCACCAGTCATCGTACTCGCCGAACCCGTCGCTTGCGACGAAGAGCTCAACGAGTAAATTAACCCTCAGACACAGCCCAATAATAGACACAGCCCACTAAGTTTCTCGCCGGATCTTCTCAGTCGGTCGCGTTTCCGATGCGGTAGTAGATTCTGTGAAACACTGCTCTTGCTAGGATCAATGTTAGCAACACTCCCGGTTTGGGCCCCGTGAGCTCACCTACTAGTTCGGTGAATCTAGAATAACCCCTCGAGGTTACTAAAATATGTAGGAAAAAAATATTTATAGCCATATTTTGTTGGACAGGTGTGATATCGGCGGGCGTGAGCGTGCCCGTGCAGATACCGTCGCAGGGGCCCGACCTCGCTTCCAACTACTGGGGCCGGCTCCAGTGATCTCAGCTTTTCGGGTTCCCGCATCGGCTCCTAGCGATGCCTGAGAACCCGAACTCCCTGTCAGAGTCGCCATCTAGCGACGTGGCGCACAACTACGCCGACGCGCGCCTCGCCCTGAGCATGGCGGCCGTGCCCGACGCGGCGGCGGGAGACCAAAACAATTCAGTGTCGTAAGTGCAACGCTGTACGTGTCTACTACCAGTTTCCGTTTTCGTTTCTATGGTGCAAATATTTATAGATTGTCGTGTACAGTGATTAAAATTAATTATAAAGCGCCCTGTAAACGATCAAATTGTTTGTCAAATTATTTGACAGTATGTAGCTTTGTTTGACGCGTTTGTCAAAAAGTTGGGGGTGTTTGTCAAACAAGATCTCAGTCGTTGCTCGACACGACGTCTCGTTATTGAGAAAACCGAATCTACGGGCAAGTTAACAAACTTATTTGATCTTTTAAGCTATTGTTTGATGAAAAACGTAAAGTTTGACAAACAAATTTGATCGTTTACAGAGCGCTTAAGGGATGCAACTGATGATGTTCAAAATTAGTGTGTAAGCGTCGTGACCCTCACAGCGGAATGTGCAGTGCAATAAACACACTGACATTTATTTATTTTCATATATTATAATTTGTGTGACGGCTGCACGAGTCATTGTGCTCGATGAGTGTAAATATTAGGGTAAGCGACATCTATCGTCGAGTAGATGAAGTAGCGCGCCGTCGCTGTTCAGCGAGGATATTGTAAATGTAAAATCGTTTGTGCCAACGTTTGTTATAATTGAGTATTACGCGCCCTATACGTGCACAACCCTTTTATTTCTTTGATGTACGTCGCAGGGGTGGGAGATTTTAATGCCGCGACGAAAAATAAGCTTCGTTATAACCATTTGTTTTCGGACCCCAGCGTTGGCGTCGTCAAACAAATTGTCACACAGAACAATCGTGTTTGTGACGCGACTACTTTGTGTATAATAAACTAATAAATGTTGTATCGTGTTCATATTAAATATACATCGCAGCACCTCTAAAACGAATTGCGTTATTTATTTTAAATGATTTAATGATCGGCATTTATAATACATATCGACGCTTGAAAGGCAAACTTTACTAAGCGACAATGCGTAAAACTTTACAGTAGGCTAATTTAAAGTTGAAATACCTGAATAAAAATTTATTTTAACGAATCTAGCTGGAGTAGAATCTAGCTAGTAGCTGTAGGATTGAAATGATTTTAATAGACCTAGAAATATATTTTTTTTTGCGCATCGAATATGGTTATTGCCTATCATTTATGTACAAAGCAGTTATTGTCGCTTAGTCACGTTTGCCTTTCAAGCGTCGATATATTTGTAATACTGTGATTTCGAATAGTTGTATAGTTCGATTTAACGACTGTATTGATTTTGATGACGAATTTTTAAATTATCCCGACGGATTAGGCGAGATCGCCCGCGACGGCACAATGCGCTTCCGATAACTTGACGTGTGTATGTATTTGTACATTGTATTGGATATTTACATTAAGATTGCAATATCGAAGCGGTTAACTCTGTTAGTGCTGTATTACAATCCGATGTTAATTGTGAAATAAATTATTGATAGTTCATAAGTGCATAGAATGGGAATATTACAGTGAAATTTATTAATAAATATTGCATTAACCATTAACATTTCGTTTTCTTTCTTTTGATTCCGTCTCATTTTTACTGTATGTGGGATATGGGCTGCGAGGCAGTGACGCGTTCTTGTTGGGAAAATGGCGTCGACCTCATGCTTCAAGCTAATGGCATTCGCTTTGCAATGCTAAGTGTCAACACTTCACTCATATGTCACTTTACTGGTGGTAGGACGTATTGTGAGTCCGCACGGGTAAATACCACCACTGCCTATTTCTGCCGTGAAGCAGTAATGCGTTTCGGTTTTAAGGGCGAGGCAGCCTTGGTACTGTAAAAACTGAGGCCTTAGAGCTCATGTCTCAAGGTAGGTGGCGGCATTTACTTTGCAGATGTCTATGGGCTCCGGTAACCACTTAACATCAGTTGGGCCGTGAGCTCATTCACCCAACTAAGCAAAAACTAAAAAAAAACGCATTTAGAAGCATATTTTGATAGTCTCGTTGTTTCAATACCCGACCACCATAGCATCGGCTCAGAGTTCAATTCTCGATTGAAGTCGATATCTTTGTAACAATTATTATTTGGTATCTCAAGATATCACTACAACAACTAAGATTTAGTATTGTCATCGGTTCTTGATAAGTATTTTTGTGTTAATTGGACGTCTTAGCTGAATAGTGATAAAAGTAAAGCTAGTTAAAAGCGTGTTAAAACAGATGACCACGAAATACAGTATACGATAGTAAGCATCATGAATGCCCACAATGCAACGTCACTTGAGTGTATCGAATGACATAACAATACCCAATAAAGTGGATGAAATATTATCAATAATGAACGACAGATGGCATTAGCGTCTGAAAACAGCTCGATGCCGTAATGGCGGTGTGGCTCTTTTAAACTACACCGCAAAACGCATCTTACGCCTTGGAGTTACGATTCAAATTTGAAACAGCTTGTTTATAAGACCACAATATAATTTGCGATAGTTTATTTTCGGCAAAATATGCTTTAAGGTATTTTAGATAAAGTTGAAATGTAAATTCGTTATGATATAATAATGGTGTTCGCCGAAGTGTAAGTGTGTTTGGGCGGTGCGTATTAGTTTTGTGTGTCGGCGCTTACAGCGGGGCAGCCCTGGGGCCAGGGGTGGCGGACAAATGGATGGGATTATGCGTGTTGCACAATGAACTCGGCTTTGTTAGATTCGTTGCGAGCGTAACGGTGTTAATTCAGTGTTCAGAATGTACTTTAAAAATAATAATAAAACTTTCGAAATAAAATAAACAAGATTAAAAAATGTTTTTTTTTTAAATGGAAACCAAATTATTCAACTATTTGATTTTTTTTTAATTGTGCTTTATTAGATATAATTTCGTTTCTATACAAGTCGATTGTTGGATCGAGAGATATTAAAAAATTATAAATGAAAATTGACAACTCTATCCAGATGTTTGTAGCTGTGTAGCATATAGATTCATTGATAAAATAATTAAAGACTAATGTGTTTCGATAATCTTTACCTTACATGCTCCAAGCACAATTCCCATAGACACAACCCATTGAGTTTCTCACCGGATCTTCTCAGCGAGACGCTATTCCGATCCGGTGGTTAGATTCTGTGAGCACTGCTCTTACTAGGGCTAGTGTTAGTAAATTCACTCAGGCTGAGCCCCGTGAGCTCACCTTGAGCTGGGATAGCCCCCTAGGCTACCAGCAAATACATAGCGAAAATTAAATTTATATTAAAAAAAATTGCTTAATTCATTAACACGAGATCGTTCCAATACATCTAGAGCATTTTAGTTAAATTAAATAATTACATATTAAGATTAAATGAATTTCCTCTACGCGTTCCGCAATTGTCGACAATTTTTTATATATAAATTACAATTTATTGAATATGAATGAAATTATTTTAAGGTTAGTTAGGTCCACTGGGTAAACTCTTTCTTTTTACTATATGACTTCTATATCTATATGATTTACGACATAAAGATGACCTCTTTAATATATAATATAAGTTATACAGGTGACACATAAATAGTATTTTGAATATTGAAATATTAGAAAAAGAGACATTAGAGACATGAAAAAATTAAAAAATTGAAATTGACAAAATTTTACATTGAAAAAAATGTTTAAGTCATCCAAACTAAGGCACTTAAATATTTATATAGTAATAATAATAATCACTGATATGTTGAATACAATATAAATACATAACATATTTCTCCTAAAACATTAATAAACGAACAACCATTTAAACTTACATTACTTAAGCTATTCTAATGTCCCGATCATTTTTTTTTAAACTTTATTTTAAAGATTTAAAGTCTAAAATACAATAACGTAGAGAACTTAAGTAATTCTGATAATTTCCTACAATTGCATTAATATTTGGCGAAAGCAAGTTCTTTGGTGATTTTATGTCACATGTTTTATCATCAAAGCTATAAAGCTACAGTCAGAGAGCTTTGGTTTGTGCTACTTTACGATAACAAAGGCGTTCTTTCGTCGCAAGTACCGGGGTCTCGTGCGGAGAGTCGGGCGAAGGATCTGTTGGGAAAGTAGAAAATGTCACTACTACTACTACTACTGGTACTGCTACTACTATTACTACTACTAAAAAAAAAATTAGTTTTAACTCTTTTTTATTGCTTAGATCGGTGGACGAGCTCATAGCCCACCTGCTGTTGAGTGGTTACTGGAGCCCATACACATCTACGACGTAAATGCAACACCCACCTTGAGATATGAGTTCTAAGGTCTCAATATAGTTACAATGGCTGCCCCACCCTTTAAACCGAAACGCATTACTGCTTCACGGCAGAAATAGGCGGGTGGTGGTACCTATCCGCGCGGACTCACAAGAGGTCCTACCACCAGTAAAAACATACTTACGGGGGTCTAGCTCTGATGCCCCTAGGTGGAGGGGGGAAGGGAGGTCGGCCGTAATTAGTGTAGTATTGGTAGGCGAAACTTGTTACGGTAAGCGATGCCCATAGGAGTGTCAGTACTAAATCTGAAAAAAGAGAAACAATAGCAAGTTACGAGTATACGAGATTACAGCCTACCTTGTGTTAAGTGGTTAGCCCATAGATATCACAAGCTTGAGGCTTGAGGTCGTAAGTCTCAATTGTATTATACAGCGGCTTGTAGTTGTGAATCTGCTACCAGTAATCACGTGAGTAATAAACTTTTAATATTTTGTGAGTAATATCCATGTTAATTAATACCTTCGCCGTGAAAGTCAATCGTGAACCTCGTCTGTGGGATTCGAACACCCGTACGGTCGCATCGCTGGATATAAAAAGCGTCTAATTAGGCCAAGACAATGATTACTATAAATATTAATTATTATAACATCTCAATTGACCTGACGGACGGTGTTAAGGACAGAGTCAGTATCTTCAACGTTTACTGTTTAGCTTTTTTTTAACGCTCAGTTGACTGAACGAGATCACGGCTCACTCGGTGTTAAATGGTTACTGGAGTCCATGGACATCAACAATGTTGACAACTTTTTTCTTCTTTTTTTATAGCCCTTGTAGGCAGACGAGCATACGGCCCGCCTGATGGTGAGTGGTTACCGTCGCCCATGGACTTCAGCAATGCCAGGGGCAGAGTCAATGAGTTTCGAGTCTCAGATTTACCATAAGTCTGCCCCAGCCTTCGAACCTAAACGCATTACTGCTTTATATCAGAAACAGGCAAGGTGGTGGTACCTACCGGTGCGGACTCACCACACGTCCTACCACCAGCGGCTGCAAAAGAAACCCATTTCTCACCTTTGTATTGATAATTGAGTACGAGCGTCGCACTCTTGAAATTCGGTACCGTGGCCCGTCTCATCGTGTTGATCAGTATGTACTTCAAATTCGATCCAATGTAGTAGTCTATAGGGTATATAACCGCGTAACCGCCGAGTATCGCGCAGGCCAGTATGTTCGCTTCGAATGTCGCGCTTATCATTATTATCGCGCACACCAATACGATTAATGCGAATATTAACCAGTAATTGAGGTCCTCCCGGAAATACAAGTCATCTGAAATAAATAAATAAAATAAATATTTACTAACAATCACACCACGTTAACTGGTCCCGTGATAAGTTCGTGTGTTACAGGTAACAGATAACGGAAATAAATGTAAGATTTTTATTATACACATACATATATTTAAGATACATCCATAACCCTGGAAAATACATTTATATTTATCATACAAATACCTTCCCTTGGCGGGATTCGAACCCGCGACCTCCTTGTGTAGTGACCATGTCACTTACCACTACACCAGACGGCCGTTAAATGGACGTTAATGGACATTGCTTAGTTCAATTCCGTTATACTTTGTAGGCAGACGAGCACACGGCTCACCGGACGGACGGTAACTGGTCACCGTCGCTCATGGTTATCAGCAATGACAAAATCGTTGTCTACCGAAAGGTTATTCAGATTCTTTAGCATCCATTTTATTTTAAACGAACACACTCCCGATTGAAGGTATGTCCTACTTTTTTGTTGTTTAGCTTAGATGGGTGGACGAGCTCACGGCCCGCCAGGTGTTAAGTGGTTACCGGAGCCCATAGACATCTACAACGTAAATGCCGCCATCTACCTTGAGATATGAGTTCTATGGTCTAAATAAATAATATAATAAATTGCTTACACATACTAATATGGCCTATATTTCAAACGCGAAGACAGGATTGATGTGAAAAGTAATCTATAATTTTGAAATAATAATAATAACTGGGAACAAATCACGCACCGTCACCCCGCCTCAAATTAGGACTTCCTGTGCTATGGTTACTAAAGACTAACATACATACTTATATACGTTTAAATGTATATATATAGTAGATACCCAGGCATAGAGCTAACAGACCTTTTCATCACACATAGTCGACGTCGCCCAAAACACGTAATTACGGATCCTCCCGATCCATTAACGGTGCTTTTAGGTACCTCAAGCACCGGTCATCGTCCTCGTCGAACCCGTCGCTTGTGACGAAGGGCTCGACGAGTAAATTAGCCCATAGACACATCCCACTGAGTTTCTCGCCGGATCTTCTCAGTGGGTCGCGTTTCCGATCCGGTGGTAGATTCTGCGAAGCACTGCTCTTGCTAGGGTCAGTGTTAGCAACATTCCGGTTTGAGCCCCGTGAGCTCACCTACATGTTAGGGCGAAGCTGAAATAGCCTCTCAAGGTTATAGGTAGGGAAAGCAAAGGTAGGGAAAAAATCACGCATATTTGCCCGATGCGGGAAGGCCCGCTAACTACTGCACCGAATCAATCTTCAAAACAAAACACTACATCCACCACGATGCCGGCATGCGTTCCGATTCGAGACTCCGACCTCACTTGAGGTCTTGAGGTCGCCAGCTGCGTTCGCGTTGTTATGTACAATAAAAAATATTTTGTCTCATTCACGCGCAAGCATAAACGCATATCTTTGTCTCTGTTTCATCGACTTATGAAACAGCAAATTCCGGTCAAAAGATCTCAAACCTTAGCCTGGATAATCTTGACTTACCTGGTATGACGTAATAGAACAGTGATGCCATAAGGAATCCAAGATTCAATGACGTCAACAGCAGAGCGATGATCGGTATACCGTATACCCACCAGAACATCAGCCACATTGAACCGAAGAACAAACCTGATAACGCCGAAGCCGCTACCACGGCTGCAAATCAAAACAAACCGTATCTACCCAGCTTTAGGTTCGATTTCGCGTTATCGCAACCGCGACGTACGCGGAAATAGGAAAACTAAATTATGATTACGCACAAATAGATGTTGGTCTTTATATATTCGAATTCGCGTGGTATTAGCGTGCGTAGTTCAGACATCCTGCCTGTGTGTGCCGCGAAGCAATCACTCCAAATTAGTATGGAGCACCAACATCTACCAAAGAGAGAGGCGGTAGTTCCATTGTGATCTTAAGCCGCAATAACCACTTAATACTAGGAGGTACGTCCAATACGATCGGTGATATCCAAGTGCGAATTGCTTTTCCAGATTTACCATTCTTTAAAGTATCTATATATTTTTCCCTACCCGTTTTTAGCCTGAAGGGCAATTCCAATTACTTGAGCTAGAGAGAACTAGCCCTAGCAAAAAAGCGCTTCACTCAATCTAACACCGGATCGGAACCGCGACTCACTGAGAAGATCCAGCGAAAATCCCAGTAGGTTATGTCTATGGGTATATTATAAAGATTTCGACTAATACCGAAAGTCCGTGCAATTGTAGGATTTACGGTCATAATCATAGTCGGTTGCTCTTGGCAGAGTGGTCGTGGTCATGTGGAATTCTTGTTTATTAAAGCCTTGAATTTACGGTACACACACTTACTGGTGGTAGGACCTCTTGTGAGTTCGCACGGGTAGGTACCACCACCCCGCCTATTTCTGCCTTGTACGTAATGCGTTGGTAATGCCGTAATGCGTTTCGGTTTGAAGAGTAGGCGGCCGTTGTAACTATACTGAGACCTTAGAACTCATATCTCAAGGTGGGTGGCGGAATTTACGTTCTAGATGTCTATGGGCTCGGGTAACCACTTAACACTATGCAATAAAAATAAAAATAAACTTGAATTATGTCAGTCAATTTCTTTTACAAAACTTTTTCTTAGGACATACGGATTTAAATATTCTCGTATTCATAGACACTTCATCAACGTGACAACAATATTGAAGTAGTCATAAAGATCACCCAGTAGTTTCTGTGAAAAGGAATTTAGTCTGTAGGTGCATAACTAACCAGTTCGATCGGTAACGACGAGGTATGATATAAAGATGTAAGTCAGTACAAATCCGCTTGTGAATCCAAACGTAAACAGTTCGATCTTGAAGAAACGATGACGTAAATAACAGAGAAACAGTCCGACGAACAAAAGCAGCGCGCATAGTACGCACGACAACAGGTCCTCTGTAAGGTAATCGTTCATGTACAGACGTGGTACCGTTGGCAAAAACAAAACGATAATATTAACTATTATCGTCAATTTAATATTCGTCAAGTCAATTAAATATAAAGGGGTGAATAGCTATTTAGTTTAAGCGGCATTCTACTTAATACGTGACATTTATCTTTTTTATTAAAGGTCCGTTTTATTTGGTATCAGTATCAACAGTTCGATGTTTTTAATTAAACTTCAATTATGTTTACGCCATTCAAATAGTTGAAGAAGTTTTTTTGTCATGATATTGTTTCCAAATTTTAAACTTCAAATGCCTCTCCTGTAAAATTTGCAAAAATTTCGCTTAAACCAAATAGCCTTTCCCTTTCCTTCCTTTCAGTAAAAGAATTAGCTTTAAAAAAAAACAAGCATCGAAATCGGTTTACCCAGAAAATAGTTCTGAGGTAACACATTAACAAATTGACAACCTCATCCCCTCCTCTTTTTTGAAGTCGGTTAAAAGCTATAAGCGAGCATCGTCTCCACAATCCACGCTCGTCCACTGCTGGAAGTGGCTCAGACATAGCTATCACACGCCACTGATGTCTCATCCAGTATCCTAAGTCATTGCTCCACAAGTAACAAAACGAACGTTTGCACGTTTCGTATTATTTTTAAGCAACAAATCATATTTATAACTAGCTTTTGCCCGCGACTCTCTCCGCGTGGAATAGTTACTTTGGCATAACGCTAAATTTTACCCCCACTTCATTTACGTAGACAGTGAAAATATTTTTGAATTATAGAATGTTAAGGAGCTATTTAAACCCCTATTTTTAAACATTCTTTATTGGTGCTCCACTTGTATTGGCCTTACCGGGATGTTATATAGCCTATAGCCTTCCTCAATAAATGGGTTATCTAACACTGAAAGAATTTTTCAAATCGGACCAGTAGTTCCTGAGATTAGCGCGTTCAAACAAACAAACTCTTCAGCTTTATAATATTAGTATAGATTGGAGTTATGTGTGTTTATTTTGAATTATTCAATTTGTAGGAATTCGTTCTTGGCGATGATCACCTATTGGCACTAGGCTGACTTTTATACTCTCAATTTAAACTTATCCATGAATAAAATTAACCAAAAGCAAAAGATGACGGTGGATGCTACTTGTGTGGATTGCCATTAATAATTACTAGTAAATTGTAAACACCTACTAATATTAATTAAAATATGAGTTTGTTACCCTGCTATCACGTTTTAACTACTCACAATCATCATGAAACAAATGAAGAGAAAAAATAAATTTATTGTCTTGTTTTTTTTTTAAATTATCTCTGCAATAATTTAGCCGATGCATATTTATCAGTCAACTGTAGTGTATTTCTTGAATTGTGTTACAAAACATAAGTGACAAGAAAATCTAAAGATTCACGTTCTAAATTATACGTAGCAATTCAATAGTAAGCTCAGTCTTAAGATGGTCTCGTTTATCGGAACTAGTAACCAATCAGCACTTACTAATAAGTTCGCATCCGTCATTTGAAAACGGTGAGCATCCATACGTCTGAGCCGGCACGTAGAGGGCATATCCGTCGGCGCCGGCTTTGGCTACGGCAACGAACACCATACCCGTCCCGGGATACAGGCCGACGATACGACGCATTTGCATCATCTTCGACATTGCGGGCACCTGATTCCATCGGTTACGTTTACAATTCGTGATTTCCAACTTTTGGTCTTCTTTTCCCTACCTATTCGCTGGTAGCCTAAGAGGCTATTCCAGGTAAGAGGCTATTACTGGTGGTAGGACCTCTTGAGAGTCCGCGCGGGTAGGTACCACCACCCTGCCTATTTCTACCGTAAAGCAGTAATGGGTTTTGGTTTGAAGGGTGGGGCAGCCATTGTAACTATACCTTGAGACCTTAGAACTTATATCTCAAGGTGGGTGGCGCATTTACGTTGTTGATGTCTATGGACTCCAGTAACCACTTAACACCAGGTGGGCTGTGAACTCGTCCACTCATATGAGCAATAAAAAAAAGGTACGCCCTGACGGGTAGGTGAAATCAGAGGCTCAACATGAGGGAATTTGCTAACATAGTCCTAGCAAGAGTGGTGCTTCGCAGAATCTACTACCGGGTCGGAAACATAGCCAGCTGTCTATTGGTTAGTTCGATCAATGTGCGACCGGTGCTTTATAGGTCTAAAAGCACCAGAGAATGACTCCGGCGGAGACAAGACATGTTTCGGGCCACGGCAGCTTTGCGTTGCCTTGTCGTGTTCGGATAAGAACTTTTGATGCTTTCTCTATGTTGGACGTAAATAAGATATAATACTGTTCGAGTTGTAATGAGAGATTGCTCTCGCGATTTTTTGTTCCCTGGTGGAAAAATGTTGGGTAACTTAGTTAGTCAATGCTTATTAGAAGCTCTTTTTGGTCATTATTAAAATTGGTGACGACAAAAAATTATTCCGCTACAACATCTTATTGCGACATTTTTTGTAATTATAAAAATTCATAAAGTTGTGATTTGATCAAGAACAGTCAATCAGAATCGATTTTGGATCAAATGATTTTGGCACAACGAGTGGGTTATTAGAGAAGCTGTAGGAGGCAGTAGCTTTGATGTATCCTTGGTATTAAGTATCCTAAGGTCCATGAGCGATGGTGACTGCTTACCATTAGGTGGACTCTATGCCAACAAAGGCAATAAACAAAAGAAGATTAACGAATGTCCTGTGTTATGTAATCTGATCTGTTCTGATCTTGGGCTTTGCTACTAAGCTATTATTAATCAAGCTAATTATTAATTTATTATAAATACTAACTATGATTATGCACTTCGATAAGATGAAGAAAAACATATTAATATATATTACAGTTAATAATTTTAATGAGCAATTACATTATTGATGAAAGTACTAATTATTGTTTTATTGTGAATGTAAATATAGCCCACAAAACCCCTTCTTATGGATATTAGATAGATAGGTTATAGAAGATATTACTGAAAAACCTTTTTTAAGGGCATCAAAGGGTGAACAAGCTCACAATCAGCCCGAATNGAAAAACATATTAATATATATTACAGTTAATAATTTTAATGAGCAATTACATTATTGATGAAAGTACTAATTATTGTTTTATTGTGAATGTAAATATAGCCCACAAAACCCCTTCTTATGGATATTAGATAGATAGGTTATAGAAGATATTACTGAAAAACCTTTTTTAAGGGCATCAAAGGGTGAACAAGCTCACAATCAGCCCGAATTAAGTGGTTAGAGGGACCCATAGACAAATTAAAATGAATGCCACAGCATACCATGAGACATGAGGATATTGTCTTTATAACAGCTGTTCCACACAAAAAAATTGCCATTTTGATAGCAGAAATAGAATGATAGCTTATGATGGCACCTACCCATGCAGTCTTAAAATACTTTTTAATATTATATTATAGCTGAATTAAGCATAAACACTCCTCAGCACAGAATTTGTGATCAATTTTTTTTTGTAAAAAACAAATCAGTCAATTTTTTTTTGTAAAAAACAGAAACCCTGCAACAGCTCTGTACTCTAGCTGTTAGAGAAGTCTACAGTTACATAAACGTATCTGCTAAGTCATGGCTTGATAAATTATGATTATAAGATCCAAGTTAAGATACTCACAATAACTCCATTTTTCTCAATGCTTGGCAAGTTCATCATACTTTTGATGCTTTCAAAGTACACATCAGCATCAAAGTTACGTTCGGGCATATACATAAGATAGACTTTGACTGAAACTTGGGAAGGATTTAAGCAATTTGGCTCTTGGGGGTTTTGTGCCGGTGCGATATCAACATAAAGGTAATCTGAGAACTCTTGTATTACAAGATCAGTTGAGACAGGAACATGAGACTCCATATTGCACCCACCGGGTACAGGATCTGAATTGAAAGGAATTCAATTAAAAATATAAACAATTTGGAAATATCTTAACAGAATTTTTAGTTAATGCAACTGACTGAATTGCTTAAAGATCATGGGTTTGATTCCCACATTGGGCACAAAATCATGTGGTAAGCATGTTTGTTTGCTCTTTGTCTAGATGTTTAATTTTCATTAAGCATCAATAGCTCTATAAAAGTAATGACCAGAATACATAATGATCTCATAGAAATGTATGATATTATTATGGTTATAAGATTATCAATTTCGATTTGAAGAGTGGCATAGCCATGGAACATCACATCACCATGATATCGGGTATCCCATATAAGCGTTAGTTAGATGGGCCACAAGCATATTGAGTAGTATAAAATGAACTGAATATTTACCCTGTTTCTTATATCCTTGTATTGCAAGATATAGTTTTAAATCTATATCATTATTCATGTTCTTAATATAGAAAACATCATTTTCGGCTATTTTACTGTACAGGCCAATATTAGTTCCATATTCATAAGTATCACTTTGAAATTTATTTCTATACATTGTAACTTTATACAAATGACTATGAACTTGGAATATTATGAATGATAACTCCTCGATTGAATTGTTTAAGTTTATTTGTATTATAGATGAATGGTTTAAGTATATAAAGCCATTGTAAACGTCTTTGGTATCATCTGTTTCTGGCTCTTTGAGTTCAATGGTCATTTGCTCCATGCTTTCTGTAACATTATTTTTTCCTTAAATACATATTCAATATGGAATAAAAAAGATTTGGAACCTTCTATGTTTACTGAGAGACTTTAGTTGGTTGTTTTTACTACAGATTTCAGAGTGATGTTATTGAGATAGACATTACCCCCTCACCATATGAGCGAGAGTCCTAAAGAGCAAGAGGCAAGTCAGCTGTTCGTCATGTCTATGAGCATTAGAAATCATTCATCATAACACCTTTCTTATATTTGGACTTATCATTTGCCATATACTATTTGAATCAAAATATTGTTTTACAAAATTTTTATATAAATAATTTGTATTATAGTACTTAAGTATAATCGCAATTTAAAATACTTCGGTATCTGAATAATCTATAAGTTTCTTTTACAATTAACGGAAAATCATAAGAATTTCGATTCAAAGCTGCAGTCATTATATGAACAATTTCAGCCAAGTGGCCGTGGAAAATGTAATTTATTATTGATTTCCTTCCGTTTCGATTACTAACGATTTAAATAACGAATCCTAACTCCAAGTAAGAAAGCAAATAAATTCACACTACATACCAATTGAAGAGACGGACACAAACGATAAAAATAACAATATGATTATTAAGTCAATGCACTGGCTGAGTAACATGATTTTCACTGAACTTGAGAAATAAACACAAAGGTAGGTATCAAAAAAAACAAATCAAAATTGGCGGTTTTAGGCTACGTTTCATTAAGACTATGATTCCAATAAATATAATCATTAATACGTTTAAAATTTACTGGTCTACGTAATAACAAAAGCGCGTTGTTTGTTGTATTCCTGTTGAAAGTAATAAACTTGATAAGTTAATAGTAATAAAAACCATGATAAATTCACAGTCTATTGTTTACGTACAAATTTTAGAGCACTGAAGTTTAGGCTGCATTGACATTGATACTCGATCTGACAAATCATATTTGACAGTGACGTCAATGACAAGCATGTGTTGCGAGTGGAGTCATCTAGCAACCGGTTGATCTTTCGCAAGACATCTGATAAAGCAACTTAAACGTCGTCTTCTTGAGTGTCCCTCAGCAGTTCCCAAGCCGACCAACGGAAGGGGCCAGTCTTCGGGTGAGATCCCCTTCCAAACCTTCGACTCGCAACGACGGGTTGAGTTAGTGCGTAGTTGAAGGCGCTCTCTCTCAAGCTCCGCCGCCTGCTTCCGGAACATGATGTATTTGCAGATGTTGTGATCTTACTTATTTATTACTTACTGTGTGCTTACTTATTTCGGATGACAAAGACACTACATCTGCTCATGCAGCATGCAGGGGCAGACATATATATGCATACGCTCCCACATTTCAAAGTTGCATAGTAATCAACAGCGAGGACCTCCACCTCCAATATCCAGGGTAGCTTCTTCGTCAGCACGCATGTCACATAATGATGACACGCATGCAGCACACGCATGTCACCTAAGGTTATTTAAGACGCAGTAAGCTCGAACGGCTGTAACCGTGATGGCACATTGCTGTCTCTGCAGCAGTAGGGATGTGCTCTAAAGGATAGTTTGAGATGGTCTTTTTTTACCATCGTATCACCTACCACTGAAGCAGAGTTTACCCAAACTACCTAGAATCATTACATTTATACCCGGTGTGTTTCCTTACATATTTACCAACCATTTACCATCCAGCTATAGATAATACACATAAATTAGTTACATCCAGCTTCAGAACAAACTTTCGTCCACGGTATTTTTTGAAAGCTATAATATTATGTCCTTCATTAAATGTGATGTGATACTGAGTGAATCTCAATTCTGATCCGTTAATAAATACACTAGTAAAATACCTGTTCTTGAGCTGAGAAGCATCCTTCGGAGGCTTTTGGGCAGTTACTCCCATTTTGGTGAAAGTTGAAAGGCTTCAGGGCTACAACAATCCATCCATCCGTCATAGTCAATATGATGTTGGCTGGATACTGAAGTTCATGCGCATCACATTAAATAATATGCTATCATCCAAAATATGAAATCGAAAGCTAAAAGCTAAAGTAGGTCAAGAGTTTGTCTAAATCGACAGTGTCCTTTAGAACAAGCCACTTTTAAATGGCGTCACAGTAGCAAAACTTTATAGTTAAAAGAAAGTACTATAATTGCTACTTCTTTTAAAGTACACCTCCTAAGTAATGCAGAAGTGTTTTAATTAAAATCTATTAATTTAAATGAATGATTTTCAATAAATATACAAATACTTTCTTTATCATACTTCACTACTTTTCGAAAAACTATTTTCAAATTGAACTGATTGGTTGGTATAATTAGTTTGACTCACACTAAATTTACCTTTTTAATCTTTCTTGTACCAAGAAGTGAAAAGAGACTTACGGAGTAAGTAGCTTGATCAAGTCTGGTTCAAAAAAGGAACGTTGGTCACTGTCGAGTGTCGATTATCGAGTGGATCAGCAAGCTCGTCTCCCTGGGAATGTAAATTAATTAGAAATCAGTAATTTTGTAATAAATTAACTATTAATATTATAAGGCGATAGGACAAACTGTTTTTAATTTTATGTCAGTCTGCTAATTTTAATAGATTTTTTTACTTGAACATGAATTTGTCCGTTTTGATTTTCGTCAAATTCCCCTTCCTTGTATCTGTCATGGGCTGGGCTTTAATGTCAAAATTTTCAAATATGGCGGCGCGATCAATGAAGTTGTAAAGTGTAGTGAGTGAATTCTAGCGTAAAAATGTAAATTGGCGTTTAAATTTTGTTTTTGTGTGTGATAATAATAATATTAAGCCATGGGTAAAGGCCAGGAGTTGCTGGAAGCAGCCCGCGCTGGTGATAGACAGACAGTGGAGAAAATATTGGCTCAATTAAGTAAAAAGGGTGGACCTTTTACAAGGTAAGTTGGGATTATGTTTTAAGGAAAAAGTATTTATATTTATATAATATATATGTAACTGAAAGATGTGAATTCTTTTTTAAGAGATGTCCCAAAAATATTGGTTCTTTTCGTGTAGTCAAAGAATTATAAATAGAGATTGTTATCTCTTATCAACAAAATTCTATTGTTTTCATGTTTTTTTTTGTTGCTAATGTTTACGTTTATATTATTATCGGAACGTTTTGCAATTTATAAGTCATCCGTGGCCATGAAAACTGCCAAGTATTAGAAACATTGNAATTCTTTTTTAAGAGATGTCCCAAAAATATTGGTTCTTTTCGTGTAGTCAAAGAATTATAAATAGAGATTGTTATCTCTTATCAACAAAATTCTATTGTTTTCATGTTTTTTTTTGTTGCTAATGTTTACGTTTATATTATTATCGGAACGTTTTGCAATTTATAAGTCATCCGTGGCCATGAAAACTGCCAAGTATTAGAAACATTGTATATCAATGAAAATTTTGAAAACACTAATAAACCACATCAGCAAATTTAATTATGTCCACTATGTCCACACATTGCGGAAAACGACAAAAATGGTATTTTAATTTTTTTTTGCAGTATTGCTTTAGATTATTCTTAAATGTCAATAAGTTTCTCTGTAGTTTTACAGCTAGTAAAAATTATAAAAGACTCCTAACAAATCGTTAATCCTTAGAAAAGGGCCAGGTTATTATGAGTTTTTTGACACTTTTTATTTATAAATTTATAAAGGAATATTTCAATTTAATAACTTCTTCAATAATTTGAATTAATGGGTGCTCTATAAATACTGTCTAAAGTGATTCTTGTGTAATTGGTGAGATATCCAGTGCATTCATTGTTATGTTATTATGGCAAAATCTTGAGAGACAATTTTTTTCCAAAGGTGTGATGTGCTTACTAAGGTCTTGTGATGAAGGATTTTTCCGTGTAAACAATTGAAACTTGCAAAATATAAATTTACTGTAAGTACAAGTGATTTACAATTTTTATTTATTATCTAGATGGGTGTATGAGCTCATGGACCACTGTATCCAGCTAACAAGGACCTAGTGTAAACTCGTTACCAGTACCCTTACACATTAACTATGTAAATAACAATGTGAATCTCGCTATCCATCTTCAGATATGAGTTAAGAGTGTTCGTTTTATATAGTTAGTAAAACAGTTGCCACAGTTGCCCCACAGCAGTAATAGACACAGTGGTGATACCTACCTGAGAGGGCCCACAAGACAACCTAGTATTATTATTATTAAAGACAACCTAGTATTATTATTATTATATTCCGGGAATAATCCCAATTATATTTCTGCATGGACCAACACCAGTCAGCACCTTGTTAATTTCTTGCAGGAAACAGCTGTGTAGTTCAATTTGAAAGGTAGGCTTTATAATATAAAACTAGTCATTATACAATACATTTGAATGTTTCATAGTGTCTATATACTTCAGTACTAATAAAAAATAAGTGTTAGAAATAAGGCTTGTTAACTGCACATTTGGTGTCTGTTCTTGCATTGAAAATTATTCAGAAAACCCTTTTTGAAAATTACTATATTTGATCGATGTTAATATTGATCTCATCCTTAAAGCCCCATGAAATTGGTGGTAATCTATTTATATTTACCATATACACCAATTTCATGTGGCTTTAAGTATGAGATGTGTGTAGTCAAATCAAGATTGGTTTGACTACACACATGCAGCACAAAAATACTTTAGATCCCATTTATGAAGTTGAAGGTGCGGTGTCCCTGATAGGTAAACAGTAAAGTAATAAAATGTGCACAATATTGGTTTAGTAAAATATTTTTTACATCAATGAAATAAAATGAAAAGATGAGAAGTCCATAATGAGCAAGTACTTATCGAAAAGCTTAGAGAGCACTCAAAGATCCCATACTAAGCACCCATGGTACAGGGTGACAATTTGTCCTGTTTATATGAGTTCATAACACCACACATATTACTGGTGGTAGGACCTCTTGTGAGTCCGCAGGGGAGGTACCACCACCCTGCCTATTTCTGCCGTGAAGCAGTACTTAATGCAGTTTCGGTTTGAAGTGTGGGGCAGCCGTAGTAACTATATTGAGACCTTAGAACTTATATCTCAAGGTGGTTGGCGCATTTACGTTGTCGATGTCTATGGGCTTCAGTAACCACTTAACACCAGGTGGCCTGTGAGCTCGTCCACCGATCCAAGCAATAAAAAAAATTTGTCTATTTCTGTTCGAAAAATGTAATTCTTTCCGGTTCCAAGCATAAATAGGTACTAGGCAGATTTTATTTGAAATTAGTCTTAACATAGTTTGCATCTTCTTTCCGGTTCCAAGCATAAATAGGTACTAGGCAGATTTTATTTGAAATTAGTCTTAACATAATTTGCATCTCGAGGTAGATAGTGGCATTTACAATGTGATGTATATTAGCTACAGTAACAGCACAAAGTGGGTTAAGTGCCCATCTATGCCATTAAAAATGTAAACACTACAATTTCTAATTAGAATATAATATCGTAAACCTAGTCTGTAGTCTTGTGTTTCTTCAGTTTGTTGTGACTTTCAGTCCCATAATTAGGTATAAAAAAAAGGTTGCCTATTAAAGGCTAAATCATGAACGCAAAAGAACACAAAGTACACGCATTATTTTACTTTAAAATCAGTCAATCAAAATACTGGTTGAGGGTGAAAGCAAAATTGTTTTATTTTTGAATGTAACAAAAGTAAGTAAAGATTTTAACATGCAATTCTTGAGGATAAATCAGCTGATTCTGCGACACATGATGTTGAATTTTTTTTAAACTGTTACTTTGTAAGGAAGCGAGATTAGGCCATAAAGCTAAGTACTTGGCTGTTTGCCAGACGTAAATCGATGTAACACACGTGCATTGAACTTTTGTCTGTCTGTGTACACCCCGTACTATATATAGCCAACTCGTAAATATTGTATACGTGCTGCCTGCACCTCGATAAACGTTGTCGGAATTAAAATTCGGTTTGAATTTGAAAATTATTTAGACAATACATAGCGTCATTCTTAACTGTTTTTTTACTATCTTACGATCGGCAGACACAACCTGCATGGTTTTAATTGATTAATCCATAGAGATCATAACGTGATTATCACTAATACATTAAACATCGAACACTACATTTCAAAAGCGGTTGACTGACTCTTCAAAACGGGACTCCTCACGGCTGCTCCTCACCGAAATGGCAAGAGAACCTACCCATCTTCCTATGCGGGTTTTACTATAGTTCTTACCCATCATTAAATATATAAGTCAATAAATTATCCGGGCTCGATTTTTTAGTTTCACCCTGAAGTGAAGTTTTTCGTGAACAGATCCTTAGATGCGTATTTATAAAGAAAGATCGTTACCAAACCCTGACGTTTGAAATCAAATATACGTATCAATAGGTACGAGTGTACTGGTCATTTCACTTATTAAGCCACTTCGGACGATCTCATTAGGAATGGTTAATCCTCTTATAATTTTCTTTGAAGGTCTCTTTTTTTATTATTATTGATTGGTTTACTGGTGGCACGGAGGCCTTTCCAGTTTCACAAAAACAGATGGGCCAGCAAGGGCTCAGCCAGAAGGGGCGAGATTTGGTAACAGCTAACCGAGCGCCTCCAAGGGAGACCTAGCAACTCAAGAGTAGCTGCTTCGCGAATGAATCTACTACCGGATCGGAATCGCGACCCGCTGAGAAGATCGAAGAAGATTGAAGTCGCCGTGGCCTAACAAGTCACTTTAAGTGCATCTTCGTGAACATGGTAAATGAAGTCCGTACCTATTTCTGCCGCGAGGCTTTCGCGTGGGTAAAGCCATAATACATTACAATTGAGACTCCGATCTTATGTATTATGGTGGTGTCGTGGCGTGCAACATCTTTGACAGGACATACGACCTACAATGACTGGACATAAACTTAGAGAGAGACTTGACAGGTGGTGTTTAAAAATAGAAACAAAAGAAATGGAACGAGAACGAATGTGACTGGCAGGGATTATTTTCAATGCCTTCCTAAAAGACAGACGAAGCAGACGACAAAGAACCAACCGATCGTTCACATATTTTATGTACATGAAATAGATGACAAACGAACGAACCAACCGTTTAGGTGGGTTACGCTGTGATGTCTAAGGACCCCCTGGTAACCGTTTAACACTTGGTGGTTCGTGAGCTCATTCAATTAGATGGGTGGACGAGCTCACAGCCCACCTGGTGTTAAGTGGTTACGGGAGCCCATAGCATCTACAACGTAAATGCGCCACCCACCTTGGGATATAAGTTCTTAGATATCAGTATAGTTACAACGGCTGCCCCACCCTTCAAACCGAATTATTGCGGCTTGCTGCTGTCGTTGCATATTACTGCTTCACGGCAAAAATAGGCAGGGTGGTGTGGTACCTACCCGTGCGAACTCACAAGAGGTCCTACTACCAGTGATTACGCAAATTAAAATTTTGCGGGTTTGATTTTTCTGACACGGTGTTATTCCTTCACCGTGGAAGTCAATCGTGAACATGTGTTGAGTACGTATTTCATTAGAAAAATTGGTACCCGCCTGGGATTTGAACACCGGTGCATCGCTCAACACGAATGCACCGGACGTCTTATCCTTTTAGGCCACGACGACTTTATTTTACTTTACTTTAAAAGGCACAACGAATATTTTCGGTCCACTTCGTTGACAGTCTTCATTTAGCGCGGCTCAAGCGGAAATTCCAATTTATTCTTACTAAATAGTTATTGCAAATGCTTAGATTTCGATGTAGAACTTTCGAGAAGGTTCGGGTAATCAGTTCCGACGGTGCCACTGAATATTATTCGTATTTCAGTTACATTCATTTTGTTTAAAATTATAAAACGATGATTGTATTAAACTGTTGGTTTTCCCTATTATATCTGTGACACAATTGTAAGTACTATTGTATGGGCATTATTCAGCGAATTAATCGTTTTT